CAAGGGAAGGAGTCACTTTGCCTCCTAAGCCTCTCCACCCCCTTGTCACTGGACTCTCCCTGAGAATTCTACCTTCTCTGCAGCCTTCTTTGGGGAGTGATGTCAACTACCCCCAGCCTCCTTCTCCTCCTCCTTCTGAACTATTCCTTTTTCTTCTCAATACAAACACACACAAGCAACCCTCCCGCCCCCAGCCCCAGTGCTTGGCATAGTACTTGGCACACTGCAGATGTTCAATCAATATATTTTTTTAAAAACAAACCAACCCTGACCTGTTACGCTCTACCACCCACCCCTGGCTTCTCTTCCATGATTGTTGCCATCACCCTGGGGGAACTTTAGCTTGTTTTTGCAATTTGGTGTCCTCCAACTCAGAGAAATTCCTCTCTGATCCTCTCTGTCTGGTCGACACTGTTAGAACCACATTTGAGACCTGTCAGATCTTCCCTCCCCTGCTTTGGGAGGATTTTCAGAGGGAGCCCACCCGGTGTTCTCTCCCTGAGCGTCCTTCCGCTCTGCCCAGCCTGTGGAATAGCTCCCCCTAGTGGACAACTGCACATATACACGCTCTATTTCCCAGTTGCACCAAGACACTTTGAAGTCCCTGGTGAAAGAGCGAACGAAATTCCTTCATTCACCAGACAGCTCTTGAGCACCTGTTATGAGTCTGGTCTATCCGAAATGCTCTTGGAGCTCACAGTTTCACTGTTACCACAGGAGGAGACATCAAACCAAAAAGGCAGTGAGAAAGCGTCACGCTTCTCTGCCTCTTTCAGGGTTCAGGGTGTATAGGCAGAACTCCCTCCCTCTCTCCCTCAACAAATATGCAACAAGGACCTACCCTATGCCGGAGACTGGTCTGAAAACATAAGGACAGAAGTAGTAAGAAGTGTACTGAGGGGTGCCTGGGTGGCTCAGTCGTTAAGCATCGGCCTTCGGCTCAGGTCATGATCATAGGGTCCTGGGATGGAGCCCCACATTGGGCTCTCTGTGGGAAGCCTGCTTCTCCCTCTCCCACTCCCCCTGCTTGTGTTCCCTCTCTCGCTGTGTCTCTCTCTGTTAAATAAATAAATAAAATCTTAAAAAAAAAAAAAAAAGGAAAGGGCGCCTGGGTGGCTCAGTGGGTTAAAGCCTCTGCCTTCGGCTCAGGTCATGATCCCAGGGTCCTGGGATCGAGCCCCACATCGGGCTCTCTGCTCGTCGGGGAGCCTGCTTCCTCCTCTCTCTCTGCCTGCTTCTCTGCCTACTTGTGATCTCTGTCTCTCAAATAAATAAATAAAATCTTAAAAAAAAAAAAAAAGGAAAAAAGAGAATTGCCTGAAACTGTGCTGTGCATTCTGGAGAACACTGCTCCATGGCTGGGGGACACCAGAGAGGAGGTGCAGGGTGGTACAAAGGAAGGAGGGCTGGCATCTGGGCAGGGCTGGAAGGCAGGTGAGGGATGGCCTTGGAGAAGAAAGGCATAAGCTAAGAAGTGATGATGAGTAGGAGTGGTCATGTAAGCCCCATGGAGGTGGTGGCAGAGAGGGAGACTCAGTGCCACCAAGCAGTCTTCTTGGGCCGTTTGACTATGTTTCCTAACATGAGTCCACTGCCAGATCACTACTGCGCCACCTGCACTCCATCCCCAGCTCCAATGCAGTGACAGCTCTCTGCTGCTGGGTCTAACCTTTACTCAGGTCCCTCTACTACCCTACCCTTCACTGCTGACCCCTCCCCGGCTAGGAGACACTCCTCCAGCTTGTAATATATTTTTAAAAATTTTTATTTATTTATTTATTTTTTAAGATTATTTATTTATTTATTTGACAGACAGAGATCACAAGTAGGCAGAGAGGCAGGCAGAGAGAGAGAGGGAGAAGCAGGCTTCCTCCTGAGCAGAGAGCCCAATGCAGGGGGATTCCGGGATTCCGGGATTCCGGGATCATGACCTGAGCTGAAGGTAGAGGCTTTAACCCACTGAGCCACCCAGGCACCCCAGCTTGTAATATTTTAACACAGCATTACTTCTCACCACACAAGGTCCACTTTCCCAAACACACCTGCAGGGGTCCAAAAACTATACAAATGGCAATGCTGCTGCAGGAAAAACAGACCGACATCAATTTCAACACTGCCTCTGAAAAACAATTGATATTTGAAGTCCCCCTCTGGACCTTGGCTGGTCTTCCCCAGGATCTCACATGCACACCTGAACCCTGGTACCTGCCTGCTCCTCTTGCCCCTCCCAGGCTTCCCGGATCTGGGGCTGTACCCGCCTGCCATTTTGGACATGGAAATCCTGATATTTACTAATATCCACACCTTCCTGCTTCATGGACCTCTGTGTCTCGGCCTCCTCAGCCCTGCCCATTCCCCTGTCCATAGGCCGCCTCATTCTCCACATCGAGGCACTTCCCAATCCTGTCCATTCCTTCTTCCCAGGGCCTCTGTATTTGGCTAGATGGGGACATTCTTACTTTGTTGTCTGAACAACACGCAAGGCCTTCCAACTGGCTCCCAGGCTTGGGTCTCCCTGTGGTTCTGATCTGGTGTGGATACCGCCACCCAGGTAACCTCCTGGACAGGGTGCCCACAACTCCATCTGGCATTCAAGGTGCTCCTCAGTCTGGTCCTGGCCTACTCTTCTAGGTCTTCCTGGGCTAAGACATCTACCAAACTTCCACTAAATGATCTACCTGTCATTCCTCTGATATATCTTGTACTTCTGTATGTCTGGGCCTTTAGTTTATACCATTCCTCTTTCCAGAATGCCCTCTTCTGCTCCTTTCCACTTTCCCAAATCCTTCCCGTACTCTAAGGTCAGCTCAGACACTACCTTCTCAGCAAACCCTTCTTTGCTCCCTCCTGTTGAAAACAGAATCTTCCTTCTCTGAACCACTATAGGAACAGGGAAGGAAACAACATCCTGTGAACGCCTGCCATGGGCTCATGTTAAAAGCATACGCTTAGGGGCACCTGGGTGGCTCAGTGGGTTAAGCCTCTGCCTTCAGCTCAGGTCATGATCTCAGGGTCCTGGGATCAAGCCCCGCATCAGGCTCCCCACTCAGCAGGGAGTCTGCTTCCCCCACCCCGCCGTCTCTCTCTGCCTGCTTCTCCGCCTACTTGTGATCTCTCTCTGTCAAATAAATAAATATAATCTTTAAAAAAAAAAAAGCATACACTTTGGGGACACCTGGATGGCACAGTCGGTTAAGCATCTAGTTGGTTTTGGCTGAGATCCTGATCTCAGGATCATGAGATTGAGCCCCATGTTGGGCTCCATGCTCAGCATTGAGTCCACTTAAGACTCTTTATCCCGGGACGCCTGGGTGGCTCAGTTGGTTGAGCGGCTGCCTTTGGCTCAGGTCATGATCCCAGGGTCCTGGGATCGAGTCCCACATCGGGCTCCTTGCTCGGCAGGGAGCCTGCTTCTCCCTCTGCCTCTGCCTGCCTCTCTGCCTGTGCTCGCTCGCTCTCTCTCCCTCTGTCCCTGACAAATAAATAAAATCTTAAAAAAAAAAAAAAAGGGGCGCCTGGGTGGCTCAGTGGGTTAAGCCGCTGCCTTCGGCTCAGGTCGTGATCTCAGAGTCCTGGGATCGAGCCCCGCATCGGGCTCTCTGCTCTCTAGGGGAGCCTGCTTCCTCCTCTCTCTCTGCCTGCTTCCTCCTCTCTCTCTGCCTGCTTGTGATCTCTCTGTCAAATAAATAAATAAAATCTTAAAAAAAAAAAAAAAAAAAAAGACTCTTTATCCCTCTCCCTCTGCCCCTCCCCCACACCATGGGCATGCATGCATTCCTTCTCTCTCAAATACATAAATAAATCTTTTTTTTTTTTTTTAAAGGCTCACATTAGGGCAACCCTCTTGGGTCCCCTCCCTTTTCGGGAGCTTTGTACTATTGCTCAATAAACTTTGCTTTGTTGCTCACAATAAATAAATAAATAAATAAATAAACAAATATATTTTTTTAATTAAAAAAAATAAAAACCTATGCTTTGGAGTCAGATCTGGTTTGACTCTGGTTAGCTGCATAACCTTGGGAAGCATACTTAATATCTATGTTCTTTGATGTTCTTTGATGCTCACTGTTCATTCCTGTGAGCATTTGAATACCTAATACATGCCAGGCTCTGTACTCTTGTTGTTCTTTTGGGAATTAAATGAAATGATGCACAGAAAGTAGCTGGCACAGAGGAGGACTGAATACACACAAATGTATTAATACTACCGCTGTCCAGTTTAGTTTCTTTTTTTAAAGATTTTATTTATTTGTCAGAGAGAGAGTACACAAGCAGGGGGAACAGCAGGCAGAGGGAGAGGGAGAAGCAGGCTCCCTGCTGAGTGGAGAGCCCAATATGGTGCTCAGTCCCAGGACTCTGGGATCGTAACCTGAGCCAAAGTGAGACCCTCAACCGAATGAGCCACCCTGGCATCCCTCCAGTGTAGTTTCTCAGAAGAATAGTCTTCTGGGTGATTTCTGGTTAGTGGGGAATTACCACATAAGACACGGAACCAGAGGGCGCCTGGGTGGCTCAGTCGGTTAAGCATCTGCCTTTGGCTCAGGTCATGATCCCAGCCAGGGGCGTGGGACCAGGTCCCAAGTCAGGCTCCCAGCTCAGCAGAGAGTCTGCTTTTCTCTCTGCACCCACCCCCCCTTGCTCCTGTGCTGTCTGTCTCTCTCTCTCTCGCAAAAATGAAAATAAATAAAATCTTTTTTTTTAATAAATAAAATCTTAAAAAAAAAAAAAAAAAAGACTGGGAACCAGCCAGCGCCGGACCCCGGTGGATCACAGGAAATGTTAAATTACCACGTGGCTGATGTGAAGTACAGAAAGTGACTGTTGTTTTCTAAATAACTTGCCGATCAGATGGAACCAGCATCTACCATTTGCCAAGGCTCTCCAGGATACCCAGCAAAGTCCTTTGTGACTAAGAGAAAACTGCTCAGAGCTAGTCTGTCTAGTTCTCATGATCAGCTTCTGTACCATGTGAGTAGGAACAGACCCAGCGGCCCCCCTACCTTCATACTGGACTTCCAGGTGCATTGTGCGCAGCACCTTCAGGACGCACTCCACGATGCTGGGGTGGGTGGTTCCAATGATTGACTGATGAGACAGACAACAGCACAAGGGGGTTACTTAAGATCTAGTACACCTGGAAGAAATAAAGAGCAGGCTGGCCGAATGGGGAGAAGGAGGGTAATGGTGAGTCAGTTGGGCCAAGGTGGCGACCTGCTAGAGGAGGAGGCACAAACTGGCACCCTTGCTGGGCGGGGAGGGTGGATACCGGCTAGGGAGAATTGAACTCCTCCAGGATCCTAAATCTTCTCTCTCTCAGGACCTCGCCTGATTGGGGAACCCATCTTTTCTACCTCTTCAGGCTCTATGTGTGCATCGGTTCCTGTCCATTGGCGTGAAACATCCTCAAGCCCACCTACTTTGCACACAATTGTCCTTCGGCTTGATCTTCTCTTGTTATTGCCCTTTTCCTCTCTCCACTCCTAAGCCTCCCAGGAGCCCAGGGGAAGCCACTTCAGCCTCCGTGCCTCCTTTGACAGGCTGCTGCAACTTAACTTCTCCTGCCATGGGACCAACATTCACCCAGACTTTTCACGTGGGGACCATCTTTCTGTTCTACCTACACTTAGCCTTTCTATGGTATTTGACCCAGCTGGTCATGTTGTCCTTGTTGAAACTCTTTTCCCTTCACTTTCACAGCCCTGGGTTTTTTCTGTTTCCTTTTAACAGCTTACATTGCTCTTTACCAAAGAGGCAGAGTGGCCTATGGAAAGACTAAGAACTCTGCAGTTAGGAAGAGTTGGATTTAAATGCCTGCTTAGTACATACCTCTTCCTCCGTGTGTGGCCTTGAGTAAGTCACCGAATGCCCCTCAAGGTTCAGTTACCCCATCTTTAAAGTGTCTGCCTCCATCAGCTATTGTCAAGACTAAAAGAGATCGTGGAAGTAAGCCCCTGGCACAATGCCTGGCAGGTAGGAGGCACTTAATAAATGGAAACCAGAAATAACAGTGACAATCAGCTGTTTTGTTGGCCCATCTTGCTCAGCTGTCTCGTAAATGCTGGCGATTCTCCTCTCACTTGGTTCATTTTACCTGGCTGACCTTACTCACTTCTGTCATTTCAGTGATCCCATCTCCGCTCAGGAAACCCAAATGCCATCCTTCTCTCGGGTCTCTTTTCAGACTTTTATTTTCTACTGTGTGGTGGGTGGGGTGTCTACCAGATGTCCTTAACAGTAATCCTTAACTGAGCTAGCACTCAGAATTACTTGGGGAGCTTTAAAAGAAAAAGCATCACCAAAGGCCTCCTGAATTACCAAAGGTCATTACCAAAGGTCAGAATCTATGGGAGGGAAGCCCAGGATTTTTGTTTTGTTTTGTTTTGTTTCTTACACAAATGATCCACTAACATCTTCTGCAGCCGGCTGGGCCTGCTCCTTGGATGGCGCTGGGGAGCCACCAAGGCTCATGGAGTCGAAACCTAACTCCTCCCAAGTCTGATGGGTTCTTCCTGCTCTCTCTCGAGGGCTGTCATGTCTGACAGCTTTTCTTTTGTTGCCCTTTGTCCCAGGCGCTCTGCCTCAAAAATGTCTGTCTGACCCAGTTGCCTCTGTTCCCACTGCCACAGGGGAAGCCTCACCATCCCTCTACCCTCCTGTCTCCCTACCACCACCCAGCGTGGAGCTGTTTTGAGAGCTTTTGCTAATGGATCCTAAGACCCCTCTTGGAGCCTCTTGTCCCTCCTGACTAGCACGGTGTTTTCCTGTGGCCACCATGTCCCAAATCAGATCCCACTCACATTCCATGGCACTGAGAGGAAGCCAGGGAGAGAGAGAAGGAGCTTTCCCAAGCCCTGGCTATCTGGCCTCTCCCTCCCGTGCGGTCTGCAAAAGCACTGTGATTCCTTCCCTACCAAACGGACTCCTGTAAGCTTTTCTACAGTCTTTTCATCATCCTTGTTGCTTGTCTCCACCACTTTTAAGCCTGCCAATATCTTTCTGATCCTTAAGTAAACAGGACAAATCACTCTGCTGGGAGACATGAACTCTTTGCCCCGCCCTGGCCTTCTGGAAGTGACGCTGATTGAGTAGCAGACACGCCGTGGGAGGCTGAGCTCTGTTTCTCATGCCTGCGTGAAGGGCAACGGTGGCAGGTAATTTTAAGGCTAGTGTGTTGCATCAGAACCACGGGCGCGTGCAGCCCGGACCCACCTGCGCAGTTCTGAGAGTCTGCAGGGACAGCTGCTGAGCTTTAGGTGACGCACAGGGCAGCAAAGCTATCAGACCTTTGTATACTTGATTCTGGTACTTGGGATTTCCGTGGACCAAAGAATCCAACAGAACCTGCACTTCTTCCTGGGTCTCTTCGGATTTCGACGTTGCCAAGAATTCTGCTATGGATCTCACGCCTGAGCACAGAAGAGAGGAATGGCTCAGTTAGAAGGGGATAAGGAATACAATCCTCACTCAAGGTGACCTAATATGGGCGGGGGACGATGGAGATGGGTGAACCAGGCCCGTTCAAGCGAAGCAGAATCAAGGCTCAGTTCTCGTGTTGCCTCACTGTCTTGTTTGCTTCGTGGTTCCGTGACCGGAGGTTGTGGTTTGACACAGGCATGTCAGCGTGTCAAAATCTGTTCTAAAGTTTAAAATGGCTCTGCAAAAGGCACAATTAAACATGGGTTTTGGGATTGCTTGTGATCCTAACACATGTGCAACATTCAGCGGGATTTACAAAATGTTCTGACAAATGCTGCCTTGTTTAATCCCAGGTTAACCTATACTAAGAGGGAGATGTTAGTCCCATTTTATGGATATATACACTGAGGCCCAGAGAGGCCATGGGGAAACAGAGGAGAACCACGATGAAAGGTTCTTTTGAAAAAGGGGTATGTGGGGGGATGGCATCTTCTCCATCCCCCTTGATCAGAGCACTTGATGGAACATAGGAAATTTACAGGGTTATTTGCCCTTCTCACCACACTGTAAGCTCTTTGAGGACAAGGATTGTATTTTATTCATCTTTGTATTCCCAGCACTATATACATACACGTGTGTGTGCGCACGTGTGTGCCCATATTCAATGATTTTATTTCCATTTCTAGAGTTATTCATAACTCACTTAATTTCACAAAGGATTTTAGGCAATGGCTTAATAAATCTTTATTGAATGGATACATGAAAGAAGATATATTTAAAATGGAGAAGTATTTCCAAAACTACCATGGAAAGATTGGAGCAAATGATGAATCAAGAAAATCATAAATCTGACTCTCGTGGTGGTGACATGGACAGGAGCTAACTGACTCCACTGTACAAAGTACTTCCGTGCAACCTTTTCCGAGAGTGGTGCTGGGTGCCACCACCATTTCACCCAGGTCCCCAGGAAGACATGGCATCACCACCCCCATCATAACACAGTACCCACCATAGCTTTCACAGATGAGCTCCTTGTACTTCCTGCCATAGTTTGCAATAACCTGAAGTAGCTTGATGGATTCCTTCTTGTCCTCCTCTTTGATCTTCTCCAGCCCAAGTATTTCCAAGAGTGTTAGGACGCCTCCAACTTCAAGAAATTCTATAAGGTACCGATTACTGTTCAGGGGAATACAAGAGGAGAAATCAGACACTTGTCATGTTCCTTGGCACTCACCTTTCTAAGGGATCTCAAGGTCCTTCCTTCACAGACTTTGCCCTCCTATCCAGGAAGTGTTCATGGGCAAAGTGACACAATAATTGGAAGTTCTTCCTTCCAGTGGCAAGTGCAAAAGTTAAACACGTTGGATGTTTCTTGTGTTTGGTTTTCCAGAATCTGTTCCTCTTCTTCTTGAAATAGCATCTCAACTATCTCTTGGGGAATCACCCCTCTGCCACTCACACGGGCTGTGAGGTTTTGGCTGGGTGAGCGGGTTACAGGCTATGCCATCATTCTGGCGGCAGTCATTGGCTGGGACCAGCCATGTGATCTCAGTCCAATGAAGCTCAACACCTGGGACTTTTTTGGGAACCCCTGGCAAAGATATGCTCTCTTTTGAGTGTGGCTGAGCAGGAAGGACGCATGTCTGGAGCTTCTGAGGGCCATAGCACATGGAGGCCTATGAACACAGAGGGGAACAGAGCTGAGAAATGGAGACAAAGAGAGAGGGAGAGACCAAGTACTGATGACATTTTTTGAGGCCCTGGGTCTAGCCAAGCTTAAAAATATGGATTTCTACTCATGTTGGTAGAAGGTGGTGGTCCCATGTAGTGTGAATGCCAAGGGCACCATGAACCCCATATGCAACTGAGACCCCAGAGTCTCCCTAGAAGAAGAACTCACCTGCTCACAGCTGACAAGAAGATGCCAATAGACTGCAGAAGCTTATCTAAACAGGAGCCAGTCATATAGCTGTATGACAAGTTAAAGAGTGAATCTCAGGGTGGTTTTCCACACCGTAACCAGATTCTGCGTCGATTCCTGGTACCATCGATGGCCCAGGATGACCAACAGTTGAATTGTGCCCTTTATCCGAGAGGGGCCACTAGGTTGAAGGGGAAGTGGCAACAAACACGCAGTGGGGGCCACAGGGGTGGGTGGTGCTAGCAGGCTTGTTCCCGGTTCCCCAGGAAGCTTTTCTGGGGTCTGACAGGCCCCCTCCAGAACAAGGAGGCTCTGATGAATAAAAGGTGTGTGGAGAAAGCCTAGTCAATTTTCCAAGCCTCTCTATGCCATGACCATTGCACCCTTGGGTCTCAGCACAGTTCATTACTTTATGCCTCATTTTTAGACTTCTCTAAAAATAATCGGCTTCATCATTAATTCTCAATTTTGTACTTGCTCAAAGCTTTACACTGGAGGTCACTATCTTTATGAAGGATTGCGTGCCTTCCTAATAAGAACAACGGGAGATGGTGGAAAAATTAAACTCTGATTTAAAACAACTTCCGTATTTAGTGTTATTTTTTAATGTGAGCCTTGCAAAAAGCTTCATTGTAATAAAGCACCCAGAGCATGCATCAGCTCGGATACAAGGTATGAAATCAACCCACAACAGAAAAGGAACCAGTCAACAATTACTAGGCTCATAACACATCACAGGCTCTTAGAACACTTAAGAAATTAGCTGAAATTATTGCAGCTCATGGAGGATGACTGAGAGCTTCCAAGACTGATAAAGGCTAATGTAATGGGTTGGAGGTAATGGTGCTTTGTTGGAGGGGAGGGCGCGTGAGGCAAATTATCTCTGCTGCACCCTGGTTCCCAGGATGCCAATAGAAGTGGAGACAGATTGGCTCATTAGGAAAGGCTCTTTACTGCAAAAACAGTGTTTGCTCTGGAGCCAGGCTCCCCTGCCTGTTGCCGTGACAGCTGGAGGCCAGGTTATCAGACCACAGGGCAGTCACTGTATTCCTACCTTGTCCTCTACCCAGCTCCCCACGAGCCCCCGTTCCTGCCTCCCTGCCTTCTCCCTCTTTTCCTCAGTCACCAGCCAGGCTCACCAACTTTGTCACCTCTTCTTCCTCTGTCCCACGCTAGTCTGGCTTTCACAATCACTCATTACACATGTTTCTGGTCCATTGTTTCCAGCAATTAGTTCCAGAAGTTTGCCACAGTATCAGCAGACGCTAACTAGTACTAAGCATTTAGCGCGTGCCTGGCACAGGGACACTCTGTTTGCCTTGTCTCATTTAATCCTCACCACACCCTGGGGTAGCTGCTAGTCCTATGTCCGTCTACTTCCTGAGGAAACAATTTCAGACAGGCGAATGACCTGTCCAGGTATCAAAGCTAACTGACGGAACTGGGATTTGAACCTAGCAATCTAGGTCAGAGTCTGAGTTCTTCCTGTCAGGTCTTCCCGCATATAGACAGATGGAGGGTATGGGGCTATTTATGCAGATTATCTCCCAGGATGGTGTTGGAGGTGGAACTATGGCTCTGCCCTGTCCCTGGGGAGGGAGGTGGTGAAGGAGAGTGGATGGTGTATGGACTTTGGGCCAGACAGACCCATTTCAGACCTTATCTTTGCCATTCACTAGGAAATTACTCAACCTTTCAAAGCTTGTCTCTCTTTCTCTCTTTTTTTAAAAAGACTTTATTTCTTTGGCAGAGAGAGAGATAGAGAGAGGGAACACAAGCAGGAGGAGTGGGAGACAGATAAGCAGGCTTCCTGCCCGCCGGATGTGGGGCTCGATCCCAGAACCCTGGGATCATGACCTGAGCTGAAGGCAGACGCCTAATGACTGAGCCACCCAGGAGCCCCAAAGCTCATCTCTCTTATTTCTAAAATGGGATAATGCCAAGCACCTATTAGGCTTGGCGTTAGGATCAAATGAGATGAGATTTGTACATCACATAGCTCAGTGCCTAGAGCATAAAAAGACTCAATAAATGGTAACTAATACTTTTGTCATTATAATAAATAAATCCTTAGTTTTACTAAGGTTTTTTTTTTACTGAGGTTAAAAAAGGGGTTTGAGGCTAATGTGAGATTAGGTGGTAGTCAATTTTACAAGACATAATGATGTTATGTTGATTTGTTTTCCTTCCAGATCCACCATAACTAGAAGGCTGAGGAGGAGGCGTGGGGGTCACTCACGTAACACACGACATCACTTCAGCTGGTCTCTTTTCTCTGTTTATGACAAGGTCACAAAAAGTTAGGGAATTATGCATGGTGTCAGGTGTAGGGCGTGAACAAACAGTTGTCTGAAAGCACGGTTCTTTCATTCATTCAATAGGCATGTCGTAGTGTCTTGTAAACGCTGGGCGTTCTTACTGGCACTTGGGAGATGGGGGAGGATGATACAGTGCCGAGGGTGGTGAGGGCAACGACTGAGTAAGAAGAGGACACTACCACTTCAGGGGCGGGGAGGAAAGATCCTGCCACAGAGACTGAGAACTGGCCATGGGAGAAGGTTGGGGACTGGACAGCATAGGACAGTGGTCAAGCAGGACTGGGGCTAGGGGGAGGTGAGTGAGGCATGTGTTTCAGTTGTGACATTTTGAGGGGAGGGGCCTCAAACCATTCAGTGATCAAATAATGATCCATAGCACAATATAAAAAAAAATCAAAATACTAAAAAAAAATCAAAATTAATACAAAAAAAAATCCATGATGAATAAAATATTAAAGTTCTGACTGAAGATGGGATTTGACCCTGTACTTGTACAACCCTGTCTCACTTGCCTCCTCCTGAGGTCACATGGAGAATGCTGCCAAGTAAGATGAGGAGGGCAGAGGGTGGTCTAGATCTGGTGACCAAGAGGTTGCTGATAACCTTGGGGAGGTTAGTGTCACAGGTTGTGAGGTGGAAGCCAAATTATGGGTGCTAATGTTTCTCAAGGTGTCATCTTTGGACCATGAGAGACCTGGACAGGTCATTCACTCATCTGAGACCTGGACAGGTCATTCACCTGTCTGAGATTGTCTCCTCAGGAAGTAGATGGACATAAGTAAGGATCAGGGTCCCCCGTCAAAGTGCGTATTAGAAACAGAGGCCAGGGGGCGCCTGGGTGGCTCAGTGGGTTAAAGCCTCTGCTTTCCGCTCAGGTCATGATCTCAGGGTCCCGGGATCGAGCCCTGCATCGGGCTCTCTGCTCAGCAGGGAGCCTGCTTCCTTCTCTCTCTCTCTCTGCCTGCCTCTCTGCCTACTTGTGATCTCTGTCAAATAAATAAATAAAATATTTTTAAAAAAAAAGAAACAGAGGCCAGGGAGCCTCCCTCAATTTACTACATCAGAACAGTGGGCTGAGGGTGGGGAGGCAGACTGGTGATCTGCAACTTTAAACCTCTTTTATGCACACTAACGTCTGAGGACATTGGGTCAACCTAGAGACATTATCAGTGGTATTCCCCTTGGCCTGTTCTGGGCCTGAGTCTGATTAGAAATTTTATTGATGACTTTGTGAGAAAAACAGAGCTGTGGTTACTGAAGCCTTTAGTTCTGCCCAGCTGCAGGTTCTGGTTCACTCCTTCCTTTACTGAACAAACATGTAGTACGTACCCCTTATGTGTTAGGCATGATCCTGGGAATTAGGAATGTAGAGATGAAGAGAACAGAAGTGATTCCTGCCCTCACAGAGCCCCTAATCCAGTGGGGAAGAGAGATTTTTAAAAAAGACTTATTTATTATTTGTGAGAGAGAGAGAGATAGAGAGAGAAAGAGAGAGATAGGTGAGGGGAGAGGCAGAGGGAGAGGAAGAGGGAGAGAGAAATTTTAAGCAGACTGTGCTGAGTGTGGAGCCAGACGTGGGACTCCATCTCCCAAACCTGAGATCATGACCTGAGACTAAACCAAGACTCAGGCACTTAACCAACTGTGCCACCCAGGTGCCCAAGATATTTTTTAAAAGAGCTATTTATTGGGGCGCCTGGGTGGCTCAGTGGGTTAAAGCCTCTGCCTTCGGCTCGGGTCATGATCCCGGTGTCCTGGGATCGAGCCCCACATCGGGATCTCTGCTCTGCAGGGAGCCTGCTTCCTCCTCTCTCTGTCTCTGCCTGCCTCTCTGCCTACTTGTGATCTCTGTCTGTCAAATAAATAAATAAAATCTTTAAAAAAGAAAAAAAAAGAGCTATTTATTTGAGAGAGAGCACGTGCATGCACAAGAGCTCACAGGGGTGGGGGGAGGGGCAGAGGGAGAAGGAGAGAGAAAATCCCAAGCAGATTCCTGCTGAGTGCATGGAACCTGACACAGGGCTCAATTTTAGAACCCTGAGATCATGATCTGAGCTGAAATTAAGAGTCGGACGCTTAATCGACTGAGCTGCCCATGTGCCCCAATATTAAGCAGGTATAAACACAATGTTATAGTGATTAAGACAGAGGGGCTTCCATAAGGATATGTAACAGGGGAACCAAGGTTAGTTTAGGTCTCAGAAAAGGCTTCCTGAGGAAGGGATGTTTAGACTGAGGTCTGAATGATGGAGTAAGAATTAGTCAAATAAGGAGTAGGCTTAGAGGAAAGGAGAAAGTTCAGACAAGGAGAACAATATATAATAAAAGGATCTGAGGGGCACCTGGCTGGCTTAGTCAGTGGAGCGTGTGACTCTTGATCTCAGGGTTGTGAGTTCAAGCCCCACACTGGGTGTAGAGATTATTAAAAAGTAAAGTCTTAGGGGGAAAAAAAGGATCTGAGATGATCCATGGAATGCTGTAGGCACACAGAGCAGGAATATCCCGAAATGTATGCATAACCTAAATTTTCAAATCTGTCTTCAACCCCAATCTCTCTCTGGGACCCCTGAGCATGGACACCTCCAACACAACATGTCCCAAGCCAGACTTATCTACCCCAACTCCTTTTCTCTTCCCACATAATGGCACCCCATTCACCCAGTTTTCCAAGCCAGAAAATAAGAGTCATTGTGTGGGGTGGAAGTGGAGACGGTTGTTGGATGAATAGGTATAGAACTCAGATTCCAGAGAGAAATGTGGGTAGGGGTACACAACTGAGAGCCCTCAACCTGGAGTGGTGCTGACATCATCACGATAGATTAGGTCACTGAGGGAGAGGGATGTGGATGGGGAGTCCCAAGGGAGATCCACGTTTCAGGGATGGCTGAAGCAAAAGAGGAACGGACCGAAAGAAAGGAGAAAACCAAGGGAATTGGTCTCACAGAAACCAAGGGAAGAGTAGGTAGTTTTTTGTTTTTGTGATGATCTGTATGTGCTTTCCCCCCCTTCTTTTCTTTCTTTCTTTCTCTCTCTCTCTCTCTCTTTTTTTTCTTCTTATTGAAGTTTAATTGACATATAACATTATGTTAGTTTCAGGAAAGAGTTTTTTGACAAGTGGTAATTGTTGACAAATGCTGCTGGGAGGTCATGTGGAATGACTGAGGATGCAGTCACTGGGTTTTGCAATTAGAACAACAGCAGTAACCTTGGCAAGACCTGCATCAGTGAAGGGGACAGAAGTCAGATTGCAGGGGGCGGAGGAGAAAAGGGAGGTGAAGCAGCGTAGACAGGAAAAGTCAATAACCTTTTCAAGAAGCTTTACCATGAAGGGCAGGAACTAGGTGGAATAGTGGTTGAGATGGGGATTTAATATAATTTTTTTAAGGTGGAAGAGATTTGAGCGTATGTAAATGCCGGTGAAAAAGCTGGTAGGGAGGCAAAAGGAAGGCCATCAGAGAGAAAGAATAAAGACCCTGAGGACAGGGAGAGGATTAACCCCAGAGAGAAGGAATACCAGCATCAAATCTGACGGGAGCGGGGTGAAAATGAGGATACACCTATAGGGAAGGAAGACAGGAAGGGAGGGAGTGCTTGACTTTGTGGATGCTACTTTGGTCACCAGATGTCCTGATCTATAGTTTTAGGGAGAATCAAGAGAAAAGCTGTCCCAATAATCTTCATTCCTTGTCTCCTTTGACGATTGCCCAACTTATTTCTGTTCAGCAAAGGATACATGAGTCTCAGCCAGGTCGTCAGGCGAACCAGGAACAAGCTGGCTCCCTGGGAAAACTCCTGCTCCAGTTCAGGAGAGGTCTTGCCTTGGTTGGTCTTGATGAAATTGTCAAGGATGTGACTCCTTGCGACTTTGCCAGCGTTGTCCCAGTCCTGTAGAAAACTCAAGAGGCGGCTAATTGCTGCCTGCTCCTTTATAGAGGTCATGGCCAGTCAGTCCTCAAGATGGCTACAGAGGGACGGAAAACAGACAGGTCTCCTAATATTCAGAACTGTGCAAGTCCCACAGGTTACTCTCTGGGTTTTGCTTTTCCAACAATCGGCTGGAGGTGGGGTGAGCCTCTGTCACCAACGTAGATGTTGTGACATTCAAAATACACCTCTAGAACTGATCATTTCCTACTTGAACAGAGAGGATTTAGCTGTGTTGTAATGGCGTTAAGAATATCAAGGTGGGGGCGCCTGGGTGGCTCAGTGGGTTAAGCCGCTGCCTTCGGCTCAGGTCGTGATCTCGGGGTCCTGGGATCGAGTCCCGCATCGGGCTCTCTGCTCAGCAGGGAGCCTGCTTCCTTCTCTCTCTCTCTCTCTGCCTGCCTCTCTGTCTACTTGTGATCTCTCTCTGTCAAATAAATAAACAAAATCTTTAAAAAAAAAAAAAAGAATATCAAGGTGGTAGGGGCGCCTGGGTGGCTCAGCGGGTTAAGCCTCTACCTTCAGCTCAGGTCATGATCTCAGGGTCTTGGGATCGAGCCCCACGTTGGGCTCTCTGCTCAGCGGGAAGCCTGCTTCCCCCTCTCTCTCTGCCTTCTGCTCTGCCTACTTGTGATTTCTCTCTCTGTCAAATAAATAAAATCTTTAAAAAAAAAATCAAGGTGGTAAATGTCTACTTCACCTTTAAGAGCTAATGTTTTAGCTCCTTGGATCCTCTGAGGATGCCAGCAACTAAAGAACCAGCTGAAATGAAGGTGTTTGCTAAAAACCTGGGTCCCTTTCACCCCTTGCTTCACCCAGGGCCAGAGATTTGGGGGTCTTTAGAGACCTGGCCCTTCTCATACCAATCAGCTAAGGAAAATGCTCCTTAACCTTGTACCTTGGGCTTTTATACAAACTCTCTTAAAAACAACTTTAAAAAAAAAGTTAGTAAGAAGAAAAAGTTTCCATTCCATAGTTGGATTAATGGGCTGTGGTTTGTAGGAGTCTGTGTCCTTGGGAGAGTGTTTTCAGTGGGGGAGGGAAGGTTTAAAATAAACCCGTTTTCCAAAAATAGTTGTGATTGAAAGTGTTATTATCCATAACAAATGTTAGTGCTGATGGGAGAGAGGCATGTGTGATTCTTTTGTCTAACAGACAAGTGAAAGTCATATTTCACATTATCATGGGGTTTTCTGTGATTTACAGAATATTTGTGAAACATTACTTGCAGGGGCCATGATTGATATGGAGAGAACAGCTTGTGTGTAGGGGAGATGTGTATTTCACGAAGACTGTTCAACATGAAATTTACAGTCCCATAAAGTGCTTCTACATCTTTGCCAGAGATCTAGTTAAAAGGACTTTACAGTCTGAAACATCCTAAAATTGATTCTAAATTAACGTTTCCTCACATGTATTTGAGATATTGATGGGGCCCAGCTATCAGAATTTTATTAGGAAGCAATAATCTGAGGCCCACGGAGACAGACATACATACACACCAACCTCCACTAGTCCCCAGAGGACACTGGGTATGTGCTCCTGGGAAGGGCGTCCACGTAGCCTTGGGGATGGAGACAGCCACGAAATCCTGTCAGCCTTAATAGCCAGGTGAAAGACTGTGGATCAACCTAAACACAAAAATGACCAAAATCCCTCCTAGGATCAAACATCAATCACTGCGAATGACTGCCTAAGTCTGAGAATAACTTTCAGAGGCCATGGCCACCTTCAACAGCCAAACCATCCTCAAGAAAATAGGGATGAGTGGTTGTTCTGGACCCAAGGGAAGAGGAGTTGAAACACCACCATTAGCTTTATAAGGCAGGAAAGCACCCTGTGCCCACCCAGCTGTCCCCTACCCTCCACCCCCTGCTGCCATGGGTGGGCTCTTTCTAGGATCAAAATTTGAAGGCTATCAGAGACACACCCAGCAATTCTAGGACATGGAGGGTGGGAAACGTCCAGCTGGGCGCTCCCCATGATGGCCCCTGACATTTCCTTGGATCTTCCCTATCTTATCCTTTTCTTTCTTTTTTTTTTTTTTTAATATTTTATTTATTTATTTGTCAGAGAGAGAGAGAAAAAGAAGGCACAAGCAGGCAGAGTGGCAGGCAGAGGTGGAGAGAGAAGCAGGCTCCCTGCTGAGCTAAGAGCCCGATGTGGGACTCGATCCCAGGATCCTGGGATCACGACCCGAGCTGAAGGCAGCAGCCTAACCACTGAGCCACCCAGGCGTCCCTACCCTTTTCTTAATGGGGAAAGGAAACCAAAATGGCAGCTTGAGAAGCCACAGTGAGGCCCCTGAACATGCAGCACAGGCCCGTCACGTGGCACTGTGTGAGGTACAGTGGGAGATGGGGAGATGGGGCACTGCTGGGGCCCTGGAGGAGACTCGGATCTTGTGGTACAAGGGATGAACATGAGATCTGGAGTCAGACTGGAAGCTAAGGAGAGGCGCCTCAGAAGAAACCAGTCCTGCAATCCCTTGATCTCAGACACCTTGATCAGAACCTCCAGACCCTGAGATAACCAGCTTCCGTTGTTTAAGGCCACCCCACCCCCAAGTCTGTCGTGCTTTGTTATGACAGCTCCAGATTATCCTTACTTTACTTAACCTGCTTTAGGCTGTATTTATGTCTTACCCTAGCCCTTGAGCAATTAGTTTCTTTTTTCTTTTTTTTTAAAGATTTTATTTATTTATTTGACAGAGAGAGAGAGAGATCACAAGCAGGCAGAGAGGCAGGCAGAGAGAGAGAGGAGGAAGCAGGCTCCCTGCCGAGCAGAGAGCCCGACGTGGGGCTCGATCCCAGGTCCTTGGGATCATGACCCGAGCCGAAGGCAGAGGCTTTAACCCACTGAGCCACTCAGGCGCCCCAAGCAATTAGTTTCTCATCCCAGGATCACTTCCATTTTTTCTCCCCTTATCCTCACAATATAGTTTTCCACAATTTATAGTTAAATCAATAGTTAGTGTTTACATTATTGACCGGGTAGACAAACACTGCTCACTCAAGCTGTAAACTACAATTACATTTTCTTTCTCTTACAAGTTGCGCTTTACCTGGATGAGGTAAATGCTTTACCTGGATGAGGTTTACCTTTTTTCAATTGTGTAGATTTCTGAGTACCTAGAGCGATTTTCTTCCAAATGTTCCAAACACATAGCTGTTTTTCCAAACATTCAGCCCCTAACTGATCAGTTCCATCTTTTCCCTGGCGATGTCTTTCCCACAGACCTCAGTCTTTCTGCCCCGTTCGGGACCAGTTGCTTTCCTAAACCTGGCACACAAATGTTGTTCTGGGATTTCCTTTTGCCAGTTTTCTCTGCTGACTGTCCCAACTCCTGGACCTAGCTCTTCCTCCTTTTTGGTTCGCTCTCTTTGTTTTGTCGAAGCACATTCCTCAGTAGTTTCCTAAGAAATGAAAATTACCTTTTCGTGTGTATCCTTGAAAGTCTCGAAGTATATTGACCTTGTGTTATATTGATTGGGTATATAATTCCATGTGAGGAATAAACTTCCCTTGGATTGAGCTTCCCCAGCGTTGCTGGTTGAGAAGTCTGACGTCATTCTGATTCGTGTGCTATGGACCGTGGCTTGTTTTTTCATTCTCGATGCTTTTGAACACTTTTCTGAAATGATGGGATGGTAGGTTTGGTTGCAGGTCTTTTTTTTTTTTTTTTTTAAGATTTAATTTATTTATTTGACAGAGAGAGATCACAAAGAGACGGAGAGGCAGGCAGAGAGAGAGAGAGAGAGAGAGAGAGAGAGAGAGGGAAGCAGGCTCCCCACTGAGCAGAGAGCCCGATGCGGGACTCGATCCCAGGACCCCGAGACCATGACCCTAGTCGAAGGCAGTGGCTTAACCCACTGAGCCACCCAGGCGCCCGCAGGTCTTTTTCAGTTAGTGTTCTGGGCCCTTGGTGGGCTCTTTCGAGCAGGTGCTGTGTCCTTTGGGTTTTGGAAATTTCTTTATCAGGCAATGACTAGTCTTTTCATTGACGAATACATAAATGTCACTCAGTGGAGGGCTTTTCCTGCCTCCTGGGGGTCTTTCAGGACTTCTTTACTTTCCAGGGGTGTGGTGCGGTGAGAGGGTTGGGGGTGCTAGATGCCTGGCATGTGGCATCCTGGGAGTGGAGGTGGGGGAGGAGCAGGGCTGCCACCACACAGGGCGTAGGGTTTCCTGCCATCACTCAGTTTTCTCTCCTATTTCTCATCCCTGCCTTTCAAACTATGCCTGAGGTCTCTGGGTATGAAGGCCTCCAGAATTCAATTTCCTTCCTCCTTATGCAGCATGAGAGTTTAGAGTGGGCATGTGGCTTTTGAGGTGGGGACAAAGGGCTCTGCATACTGACTTCAGCAAGTCCCCCTGTGTTTAGCCCCTTACCTCATGTCTAACCTGGGCTAACTCGGGTCTCCAAGGCACTAAGCTTTATAGAGATTAAAATGGGTGAACTGACTTGCTTCTCGTTGGTAATCTCCCCTTGTGGGCACTTAGTTTGTAATTTCTTAGCATGTTTCAAGGCAAGCCACTTGCCTTCCCACTTGCCTTCTACCTTTCAAATATTTGCCCAGCTTTTATCTGGTGTTGCCTCCTTCTCTGAACTTTGTGACTTAATACCTTTCTGTATTTCTTTTTAAAAAAGATTTATTTAGGGGCGCCAGGGTGGCTCAGTGGGTTAAATCCTCTGCCTTCGGCTCGGGTCATGATCCCAGAGTCCTGGGATCGAGCCCCACATCGGGCTCTCTGCTCAGCAGGGAGCCTGTTTCTCTCTCTCTCTGCCTGCCTCTCTGCTTATCTCTGTCTGTGAAATAAATAAATAAAATCTTAAAAAAAAAGATTTATTTAGGGGTGCCTGGGTGGCTCAGTGGGTTAAGCCTCTGCCTTCAGCTCAGGTCATGATCTCAGGGTCCTGGGATCGAGCCCCGCATCGGGCTCTCTGCTCAGCAGGAAGCCTTCTCCCCCCGCCACCTGCCTCTCTGCCTACTTGTGATCTCTCTCTCTCTGTGTCAAATGAATAAAAATAAAATCTTAAAAAAAAGAGATTTATTTATTTTAGAGAGAGAGAGAGAGAGAACATAAGTAGGGAGACAGGAGAGGGAGAAGCAGGACCCTGGGATCATGACCCCAGCCAAAGGCTGACAATTAACCGACAGAGCTACCCACATGCCCCTATGTTTGTTTATTTTTTTAAGGTTTTATTTATTTTTTTAGAGGTGGGGGAGGGCAGAGATGGAGAGACAAACTTAAGCCTGAAGGGGGCCTCAATCTCACGACCCTGAGATCATGACCTGAGCAGAAACCAAGTCAGAGGCTTAACTAACTGAGCCACCAGGCGCCCTGCCTTTTTATACTTCTTTAGTGTTAGGTCAGGGAGGTTTGGAGAGGGAGGGGAGATAAGGACCACAGTTATGTTTAGTCAAGAGTCTCCAGCCACTTCTTTATTTTTATTTCAACTTTTCTTCAAAATAAGACTTTTAAAAATTTTATTTAAATTCAATTAATTAACATATATTTTATTATTAGTTTCAGAGTCAGAGTTCAGTGATTTATCAGTTATACGTAAAAATCCAGTGCTCAATTTATCACATGCCCTTAATGCCTGTACCCAATTGCCCGCCCCATCCCCCCACTGCCCTCCCCTCCAGCAACCCTCAGTTTGTTGAAACCAGTTGAAAGTTTCTTCTGGTTTGTCTCCCTCTCTGGTTTTGTCTTATTTTTCCTTCTCTTCCCCTATGTGCCTCTGTTTTGTTTTTTAAATTCTCTATATAAGTGAAATCATATAATTGTCTTTTTCTGATTGACTTATTTCACTTAGCATAATACCTTCTAGGTTCTATCCGCGTCATTGCAAATGGCAAGATTTCATTTCTTGATGGCTGCATAGTATTCCACTGTATATATATATACCACATCTTCTTCATCCATTCATCTGTCAATGGACAGCTGAGCTCTTTCCATAGTTTAGGTATTGTGGACATTGCTGCTATGGACATTGGGGTACAGGTGCCCCTTTGGATCACTACATTTATATCTTTGGGGTAAATACCTAGTAATGCAATTGCTGGGTTGTAAGGTGGCCTATTTTTAACTTCTTGAGGACCCTCCATACTGTTTTCCAGAGCGGCTGCACCAGCTTGCATTCCCACCAACAGTGTAGGAAGGTTCCCCTTTCTTCGCATCCTTACCAACATCTGTTGTTTCCTGACTTGTTAATTTTAGCTGTTCCTGACTGACCAGTGTGAGGGGTATCTCACTGTGGTTTTGATTTATATTTCCCTGATACGTCATGTTGAGCACTTTTTCATGTGTCTGTTGGCCATTTGTATGTCTTCTTAAAAGAAATGTCTGTTTATGTCTTCTGCCCATTTCCTGACCAGATTATTTGTTCTTTGGGTGTTGAGCTTGATAAGTGCTTTATAGATTTTGGATACTAGCCCTTTATCTGATAAGACATTTGCAAATACCTTCTCCCATTCTGTCAGTTGTCTTTTGGTTTTGTCAACTGTTTCCTTTGCTGTGCAAAAGCTTTTTAATCTTGATGGAGTCCCAATAATTCAAT